TCTCTTAGCTTTTGTGAATAATGCTGTAGTAAACATGGCTGTGTAGAGCTTCCTCTTTGAGTAATAAAGCAGTAAATCTTACTAACTCATCTACTTAATAAATGACAAAAATAAAATACTTGGACAAAAACATACTTTAGAGTGGTAATTGCAATATTATACCATTGATTTTACATTTCAAAACATAGCAACAATATTACAAATCATTTATGAATCCATATTGTCATTGTTATTGTTGTTATGTGCCATCAAGTCTCCTGCAACTCATAGCAACTCTATATACAACAGTCCTAAAACCTGCTCTATCCTGTGCCAATCTCACTGTCTCCGACATCCTAACACCATTATGCCAGTCACAGAATTAATCCATCTCATCAAGAGTCTTCCTCTCCTGCGCTGTCCTTTCACCCTCCCAAGCATGATGTCCCTCTCCAAGGACTGGTCCTTCCTAGCAACATGTCCAAAGTATGTCAGACAGAGCTTCAGAATCCTTGCCTCCAAGGAGAAGCCTGGTTTTGCCCTCTCCAGAATGGTTTGTTCTAAACCAGATCATGAATGGGAAAGATAACTTCAAATTTAGGACCCTTAGTAATTATTTAGTGTTATCAATGATGTTAAAAACATGGAAAAAATATGGCAAGTTATTGTTGGTGAATGTTGTTGTTGTTAAGTGCCGTCAAGTCGTAGGCAACTCATAGTGACCCTATGAATGAAAGTCCTCTACACTTGCATGTGTGACTTTCATCCTTTCTTCAGGTTCATAGGGCTTCCGGAGGCAAGCTATTTATGGAAGTGGGTGCCACTCCTGCTTCCAAAGTTGGTGAATACAGGAGTATAATATTTTTCTCTGGACCTTTCTCTTGTTTATAATTTTTTAAATGATAAACTAACTCATTGCCATCAAGTTGAAATTAATTCATGGCTGCTACTCCAATAGGCTATAAATCACACAAGAAGAAGTTACTCATCATTCTCCCAAAGAACAGCTGGTGCAACTCACTAGGTCACCAGAGTTAATTTTAAATGGTAGTTAGCAGTATTTTAAATACCAAAGGTCAATTTTATTGGATGATGAGAGGTAGGATCAAATGAGGACTTTTCCACATTTCCATGTAGGTCTCCAGAGTTGCTGTGCTTAGGGACCAATACAAACTGCCTGGAAAGGGTGAGACATTCCTAATTTGGAATGAGAAAAATGATCTATGGTCTCCAATGCTAGATGCAGAGAGAGATAAATTATGCTGACTTTCTCCTACCCTTTCTTTACTGTATATTCTCCCTTTATCCATTTCCCCTTCCTCTCTTGAGTAGCATAGAAAGTCACAAATGTCCAATTTTAAGGATGAATGTCAAATCATATGATCTACCCTCTGCAATCTCCAGCAATACATTTCTTCTGGGCATTGATGGGTTTGTTTATTAGAGAGAAACAAAATTCTAGAATTTGTACACTTGACTGTACACTAGAGATTTCTTTTTACTTTGAAGCAGTAGAATGTTATTAGAAATTTGAGCAGACGTGAAAGTTCTATTGAAGCTATTTGGTCAACAAATTATTACTGAGCTTTAAACAAAAGAAGAACAAGGAATAATTGTATTTGTCATGTTGTATTAATCCTATCAATATTTTTAAATTTTTCTATGTTCTTGAATATGCGCCTGTCTTTTTATGTTATTTGTAACATAATGATAGTTTCTAGTAATAAGTTTTATTCTTGAATCTCTATAAATAGAATTCTCTTTGTGAGTACATAATGCTACTTGTGGTGGGTTCAGAAATACTGCTTAACAAGAAGTAAAAGAAGAATGACATTTCAATGATTGAATTTTATAAGGCATTATTAACATGATTTAGGAATTAGTTTCTTTTTAATAATGTTTTTAATCTGATAAAAATTCATGTAGTCTAAATAGAAAGTAATTCTCCTTCCTACACACTATTCCTTACTTCTACTCCCCAAAGACAGCCATTGTTACATATTTCAATGAAATTATTACATCCATTATTACACATCTTCCAAGCTACTTAAGAACAGCGAGGATATTTAGTTAAATATTTTGTCTACATTGTATGGAATCTAAAAAAAAATAACGAATTGTATGCAAGCATATTTTGTTGTTTTGTTAATCAGCCCCCAAATTAAGCCAGTTCAAAAATACTGCAAGAAGCTGTCCAATGAGTGTTTTACTGTCTTTGCTATAATGTAAAAAGGAATTAGTTTGACACTAAAGTCTCAGTAATGAGTGTGCAATGTCTGTATAATATTTGGGCTGGCTGGTTCTCATTAGGTGGCACTGATGCAACAATGCCTAACAACCCTTGTCCTATCCTCCGCCATCCTCGTCATCTCCGACATGCTCAAGCCTGTTTTTCCAGTCACTGAATCAATCTATCTGCTTAAGACCGAATCAACGTGATTTTACATGTACAATTCAGTGATACTGGTTGTGTTCATCATGTTGTTCCACTATCACCACTATCTAATTCCAGATTATTCTGCTACCACTGACGGTAACACTGCTCTAAGCAAAATTCATTGTTTCCCCTCCTTCCCATCCCCTGATAACTATTAATAAGCAATGGTCTCTATACATTGAACTTTTTCAGTTGAAGAGGTCATACAAAATCCTTTCGTTACTATTAACTCAGCATAACATATTCAAACTTTTATACTTCTCAAAGACAGAATTTTTACACTTTTTTCTATTTCTAAATGGATCAAATTGTAAGGGGCGAAAATGTCACTTTTGTCTTTTCAGGCTCTCCTAACATATCGAAGTGACCCAGCCATGAGAAAAATGTTGAATCATCTCTATTTCTATGTCATGCCTGTTTTTAATGTGGATGGATACCATTTTAGCTGGACCAATGTAAGTCACTTTGCCCATCCAATTGAAACTCATTCCCATCGAGTTGGAACGGACTCACAATTGCCTCTGTAGCTGGTTTTCAGAGGCTGTAAGCCACATGGGAGAAGAGATTACTCATATTTCTCCCATGATTCAACTAAATTGGTATTTTTATTGTTGTTATTATGCACTATTAAGTCACCTGTGACTCATAACAACCCTATGCACAGTAGCTCTGAACTCTGTCCTATCCTGGGCCAGTCTCACTGTCTCTGACACATCAAACCCAGTTACTTTGTCACTCCATCTCATATAGAGTCTTTCTTTCCTGTGTGGGCCCTCAGCCCTTCCAAGCATGATTCCCCTTTCCAAGAACTAGTCCCTCCTGATAACATGTCCAAAGTATGTGAGACAGAGCTTTAAATCCTTGCCTCCAATGAGTAACTTGGTTTCGTCCACTCCAGGATGAATCTCTTTGTTTTCTTAGCCATCCATGGAATGTTCAACACTCTTCTGCAGTACCACAACTCAAAGGCATCAATCCTTCTTCTGTCATCTATAGTAATTGCCCAGCTCTCTGATACATAGCAAATAATTACAAAGACAATAGCCTGAATCAGGCATACCTTCATCTCCAAACTGACATCATTGTTCTTCAGTACTCTAGAGAGGCCCATGACAGCAGATTTTTCCCAAGACAACACATCTTTTGATTTCCTGGCTGCTGGTACTTAGAGTGTTGCTTGTATAGCCGAGCAAGCTGAAATTATAAACATTCTCAATCTATTCTCCATCTATCATAGTGTTGCCAATTGGCCTAGTGGTGAAAATCTTTTTTGAGCTTCAGTGCATATTGAAGACTGCAGTCCTTGACCTTCAACAGCAAACACTTCAGGTCCTCCTCTGTTTTGGCAAGCAAGGTTGTATAATCTGCATAATGCAGTTTGTTGATGAATCTTCCTCCAATCCTGATGACACGTTTCTCCTCATAAAGCCCAGACTCTCAAATAATTTCTTCTGCATATAGATGAAAATGTATGGAGAAAAGATACATCTCTGATACACTCCTTTCCTGATTTTTTGAACTAATCAATGTTTCCTTGCTCTGTTCTGATGATTGCTTCTTAATCCAAGTATAGGTTTCTCATGAGCACAATCAAGTGTTCTGGAATTGCCATTCCTCTCAATGTTAGTCACAATCTGTTGTGAACTACACAGTCAAATTTCCATAGTCAATGAAACACAGATAGACATTCCACTGGTATTCTCTGCTCTGAGCCAAGATCCATCTGCCGTTGGCTATAATGTCCCAAGTGCCATGGCCTCTTTCATGTCCAGCTTGTTATTTCTGGTAGTTCTCTGTCAAAAGATAGACTAAATAAATTACAGAAGACAGAGTGAGGAATAAGACGTAGCCATAGTGGACAGTCACTCAGGTAGTCTCAGAGGGTAAAAAGTAGCCTCCATTCATTTTCAAATTCTTTTATCCCTCTTCATAGAAGTTCAGTGGTGATAGTTGCACAGCTGGTGAATATAAGTAACGTCGCTGAATTGTGTGGGTAAAAGATGTGAAAATGCCAAATGTTTTGCTGCTTTTGTACTTACTGCAATAAAGAGGTCTCTAATCCCTTCCTTATGAGAGCATTACATTTACATCCTCACTTCATCAACATGTTTGGCTTTTGCATAAGATTTCTTCTCAAGAGAAGTTTAAATGAAAGATAGCAATGTCAAATAAAATGGGGGCATCACTCAGCTAGTACAACCTATTATTCATTTTGCCTGTGAAGCAATTAGGTCAAACAAAGGTAAGAGATTACAGAAATTAGCACGTGAACCAGGGTCTCCATGCTAATTCAGTCTTCTTTCTTATCATATTTACAGTAGATATGTTCACCTCAGTGATGTGATTAGTTAACTAATTGAGCCAGTCAAAGACATGTGAATAACCTTTCAAGTGTTTCTCTGCACCTGTTTTCTTAATTATGTCTAGGATCGATTCTGGAGGAAAACAAGGTCAAGGAACTCAAAGTTCCGCTGCCGAGGAGCGGATGCCAATCGGAACTGGAGAGTGAAATGGTGCGGTAAGTTGGGGTTAATTGGGATTTGGACAGTAAGGTTTCCACAGGCCCACTGTGAAGTAAGGACAGCCCATTAGACTCTAACATGAGACTAGTGTTTTTCTGTATGTGCATATCTAAACCATCTGTATGGTAGAGCTATCATTTGTCAAAGAAAATGAAAGGGTTTTAAAAAATACATAAAAATTTAAAACTATCAACTCAGTCCTGAAAACTGAGTATTTAAACACAGATATGCAAGCATCAGTCTGAAGAATATTTGTCATTCACAAAACTACAACAGGAACTGTGTGGTTTGTGGTATAAATCTGGTTAAGTGTTTCCTTCATTTTACTAAGGCTAACATTAATCCTACCTACATCTTTCTAGATCTGATGATCAAAGCTGTTGAGTGGATGTTTGTAATCTACCTGTCAATCACTAAGTCACTGGCCACTCACAAAGCAAATATATTTCTGTTTCATTGCATGTTTCATTGATATCTTACTAGTAAAGGAAGGATGTCATTTTAAGAAGGAAAAAGCTTCCAGAGAACCAGCCAGCAGGTAGCAGGGAGAGAAATGAGGACATTAGTCATGTCTATTATACATGCAGCAGAAAGGAAGGAAGGAAAAAGGATGGCCAAAATGTAAAAAGACATCTTCGTTCTCTCAAAAATCAGGATAGCATAATGGAAAACCATCATGCAGTCTCTTAGAAGTGGAGTCTGTCACAAACACACTCATTCTGTAATGTAATGGGGTCTCTGCTAGTATCTACATCTCCAAACCCACCAGCGTTAAATACAATAGCTACTGGCCATGTCCTTGAACTCCATCCACATATCCCTCCAGAAAAACACTCTCAGTCAATTTGCTGGTACTGTTAATTGTTCCTGAGCTGGCTCTGATACATAACAACTCTACGTACAACAGAACGAAGCATTGTTGTGATCTTGTGCTAGCATCACTATCACTGGTTTGCTGAAGTTTATTGCTGCAGCTGCTGTGTATTTTGAGTGCCACCCAATTTAGTGGGCTCATCCTCCAGCACTATATAGGACAGAATTCTGTTGTAATCCAAGGGATTTTCATTAGTTCATTTTCTGTCAGACCTTTCCTCCAAATCTGAGAACACCACTGAACCTTGTCCACCATGAGTGACCCAGCTGATATTTGAAGTATCAATGGCATAGCTTTTAGCATCACAGCATTATACAAGTATAACCAACTGACAGCCAAGTAGTAAGTAGTCAGTCAATTCTGTTGTTGTTGTTGTTATGTGCCGTTGAGTTACCTACAACCCATAGCGACCTTATGTACAACAGCTAAGAGGCCTGCCCTATTCTGAGCCAGTCTCACTGATTCTGACATACCTACTCCCATTAACCCCATTACTGTATCAATCCATCTTATCCGGGGTCTTCCTCTCCTATGCTGTCCCTCCACTCTTCTGAGTATGATGTTCTTCTCCAAGGACCAGTCCCTCCTGGCCACATGCCCAAAAGTATGTGAGACAGAGCTTCAAAATCCTAGCTTCTAAGGAGCAACTTGGTTTCACCCTCTCCAACACAGATGTAATTGTTTTCTTGGCAGTCCATAGTATATTGAAACCTATTCTCCAGCACCACAAATAATTCTTCTTCTGTAGTCTTTAGTCATTGTCCAGCTCTCTGATGCATAACAAGTAATTGTGAAGATCATGGCCTGGATTGCGTGCACTTTAGTCTCTAAACTGATATTGTGGCTTTTCAGAACTCTGGAGAGGTCCCCAACAGCAGATTTTTCTCAGTGTAATTCATCTTTTATTTTCCTGACTGCTGGTGCCAAGAGTATTAATTGTGGCGCTGAGCAAGCTGTAATTGTTAACAACCCAAATCTCTTCACCATCTAGCATGGTGCTGCCAATTGGCCCAGTGGTGAGAATCTTTGTTTTCTTGATGTTGAACTTCAATCTATATTGAAGACTAGTGTCCTTGACCTTCTGCAGCAAGCACTTCAGGTCTTCCTCAGTTTCAGGAAGCAAGGTTGTGTCATCTGCATAATGTAGGCTGTTGATGAGTCTTCTTTCAATCCTGATGCTACATTCCTCCTTATAAAGCCCCAGCTTCCCAAATAATCTATTCTGCATATAGATTGAAAATGTGTTGAGACAGGATGCATCTCTGACACACTCCTTTCCTGATTTTGAAACATGCAGTGTTTTCTTGTTCTGTTCTGAGGACTAATTCCTGCTCCAAGTATGGTTTCACATAAGCGAAATCAAGTGTTCTGGGATTCCCATTCTCTGCAAGGTTAGCCACAATCTGTTGTGATCCACACAGTCAAATGTCTTTGCATAGTCAATGAAACACAGATAGACATTCCTCTGGTACTCTGTTTTCTGCCAAGATCCATCTGACATTGGCAATGATGTCTCTAGTGCCACAACCTCTTCTAAACCCAGCTTATATTTCTGGTAGATCTCTGTCAATGTCTGTTCCAAACATTTCTGTATAATCTTCAACAGGATTTTGCTAGCATGTGGTATTAGTGATATTGTCTGCTAATTTCCACACTCTGTCAGGTCTCCTTTTCTTGGAATGGGAATAAATATGGATCTCTCCCAGTCATTTGGCTAGGTAGTTGTCCTCCAGATTTCTTGGCAAAGCTTGGTGAGTACATTCAGGGCAGCATCTGCCGAAATATGTCAATTGGTAACAAATAAGACAAACTACATATAGGATAGTAAAAACAATATGGATCTAAAGTACAACAAACATTGTTTGAGTCTACCAGTATTAACTCAAAGACAGTGAGCATTGCTTTTTAATTTATGAGATAATAATACTCACATCATGAGCTTCTTATGAGGATTAAAAGGTTCACATTTTTTAAATGCATTATTCAGCCCTAGCTGCAAATATTTTGTCATTGAGTTGGAATCAATTCCTAGCTGATCCTGAGCCGATTTTCAGAGGCTGTGAGTCACATGCATAGAAGGAAATTGCCCGTCTTTCTCCTGCAGAACTGCTAATAGATTCAAACTGCCAGAGAGGTACTGACTTTAGGTTAGCTATGCAAAGCTCTACTGTTTTTTAGGCTAGCTGTATGTACACCACCAGAGCTCTCCATGCATAAATAAGCCCAGACTATAAATCACATGGAAGGAGATTGTCTGTTTTCTCCCGCAGAGCTGTTGGTGGATTCAAACCACCAGTGAGGCATTGCCTGTGTTAGCAGCACAGTTCTCTACTATCTACACCACAGAAACTCCCTTAGCTCCAAAAAGTGGTCTAGATGTCCGTAATCTGCTTTCTTTCCCCATGCTACAGAACAATTGCTTCACCTCGGAGTCATAGTTCAATTTGCAAAGCAGCTTCTTTCTCATGATGTGAATATTGCCATGATGAGCATTAACATAAAAGTACATACAGTCATGTTGGGGAGGAAGGAGCACTGCACAGAAACTGTACGGCGGCATTGTTAATGGCTGTTTGGACTTAGATATTCCTTCAACCTAGCCTGAGACAACAAATATGTTTACCCCACTGCCTCAAATCTATTGCTTATTTTTCCAATTTTCTCTTCCTTTCTCTCTGAAGGAAACATTTTGCATGCTCATAAATGTGTACTGTGTCACAGGTTATCAAGTACCTGGATCCACATGCCTGTCATCTGTGAGTGGTTTGACTGAGTAACTGAGCTCAGTAACTCTATCAGCCTAGCCCATTTCATAGCGTAAAGGGAGAACCTTGTTTGTGGCTACTTGCTATCCAGTTACAGAGCATGTCTTGCTCTCCTTTGTTCATCTGCCTTTAGCCAGTTTGTTTGTTTCTTCTGTGCATTTTCCAGTTTGGATTTCTTCATTTCAACTGAAGTCTCTACTAGCATTTTTCTGATTCTACTCATTTTTTTAAATCTTTTTTTCTTTTTCCTTAAAGTTAGCACATAGCATGCACAAAGGATTATATCAAAGATCAATTGTAACATTACCTTTTTTTACATATCTTATTGTGATTTGTGCGGCAATTTACAAAGCATATTGCTAAGGTTTGAGTTAGGGTATCTTTTTGCTGTCAATTATTCATGAATATTTTGTTCTATAACATTTATTAAAGTACACACAATGTCTGATCATCCATTTATTCTATATTGTCTTTCCCACACCCATTCTGATAAAGTGTTCATTATCTATTAGTAATTTTTTTTTCACTTCTCATCATTTCCCTCTCTGGTAACCATACTATGCTTATCCTTTCTGTATTAAAACATTTCTCTAGTTTGTATAATAGTGGTCTAACACAGTATTTGTCCTGTAGTGACTGACTTATTTAACTCAGCTTAATGTCCTCTAGACTTATACATGTAATGTAGTTTTTCATTAATTTATCATTCTTTTTCTGTGCTACATAGTGCTCCACTGTGTGAATATATTCTTGTTTCTTTATCCATTTATTTATTGATGGTGCTTTTGTTGATTCCATTACTTCTTTTGTGAACAGTACTGCACACATCCCTTCATGTTATAGCTCTTATTTCTTTAAGGTATATTCGGAGATGGTACGATTGGCACAGGACAGAGCGGAGTTTAGGGCTGTTGTACAAAGGACCTCTATGAGTTGCAAGCAACTCAGTGGCACATAACAACAAACAACAACATTAGTAGTTACCTTGACAGTTTTAAGAGATTGAGACTTGCAGAAGGTGAGTCATGGGCCTATCTGCCATACTATAGTCATTAGATCAGCTTTATCTGAGACAATAAATAATGCCTATCGGTATCCTTCACAGCTTCAGATCTATCCCTTCTTCCCACTATTATCTTCATTATGTGTATGGTCAAGGCAACAGCAAATCCTATAGAGTCACTCTTTGGTCAAGGATATGTAGGTAAATATGAAATCTCCTGTGTGAACTCCAAATAAGCATTTATGGTATAAATTATATATAAAGGTTCCAGGATAGCACAAATTGTTTGTGATCAACTGCTAACCTAAAAGTTAATGGTTCAAAACCACCCAATGGAAGCACAAATAAGCCTGC